ATGGTAGTTTTGTAACGTTGGTGTATAGTTGTATATGAGAGAATTTGTTGATGTGATAATTGGAGGATGAAGCGAAAGTATGCAGATGCGAACACATGTGAATATGAATCGGTGGAAGAGTTATAATATGTGAAACATGAGATGATGTTTTGAAGAGGAAGGAGACGTATAAATGTGAAGATATATATTTGATATGATGTATATTTTACAACTGACTGATCGGACAACAACGATGTTATGTTGAGTGTAATGGTAAGTTTATGTTTATGCATAATTCGATAACTTGTGACTAGTGTTGTATTGTTCATGTTGTGGGACGAATAAGATGGTGGTTTTGTGTGTTGATGAGTTAGTGATGTGTGACTGATTTGTATGATATGATGTGAATTTATTCACGACGGTCTGTTGACCGAGATATGATATAGTTTAGTGAATACTGAAATGTTGTAGCATGATGTTGTTTTGAATTGTGATGTCTGTGTGTAAATAATGTTAATTTTGTTTATATTTCAGACAATTGGTGTAAGATGGTGTTTGTGACAACTGGTTGTGATGCTAATTGTGTCGAGTGATAAAACAGGTGAGTAGATTTATGTGGTCGGATAGTTGTGTGTGGTCTTGTGATGATGTTTGTGTTATGTCTGATTGATTGATTGATTGGTTGACTGGTTGTTTAATATATATATATATATAGATATATAGATTGATAGATTGTTTGTTAATACTGTAAACAGGAAAGGTTGACAGGTGATTTGGTGACTTAGGTAAGACAGTTGAGTAATAGTTGATGGTGTGGTGTTTGATTGATTGTAGTGTGTATATACACATTCAGTGTATGTGGTTTGTGTGTTGTGTAGATGTGTTTGTGGTGTATGTTGATTTTGAATTTGTTGAGAGATGATGATGTAATAGAGAGGAGTGTGTATTTTGTGTGTGTGCATAGGTTGAGAGGTGTCAGTAGACTGTTGAAATAGGTATTGTGTGATGTGATTCCAGCTCACATTGACTCGTTGAGGATGATAGTGAGATTAATGATCTGATGATATTAGTATTTCGATAGAATTTGATGAGAGAGTTGGTATTGTGCGTGCCAAATAAGAATAGTTTTTTATTATTAATTTGATTTTTAGTTTGTTGGTGATATTGGATGCGATAGATTTGTGAGGAGTGACGAGTGAAGTTGGCGATGGTGGTGATAATTTATATACAAGGTTTTTAAATCGGAATAACGGTAAGTGTTTGTTTACCGATTGTTGATATGATGTGATGTGTTATGATTAGTGTGGTGAGTAGTGGGTTTATTGTGATTATGTTTTGTATATGACGGTTGTAGTGATGGTTGGTGTTGTTTGATTACGTTTGTAAATAGATAAGTGAGACGTAATTTGGTGATGATAACTTGCCCTCTATGATCAGTGATTGGGCTCTATCTGAGACGACAGTATTGAAGAAATGTATACATATTTGCATGTACATGTATATGTACACAATTGTATTTCGAAAGAATGAAAAATGTATGTTTAATATTATGAATATGATGTTAATTGAGATATTGATATGTTGTTTTGTTTTGTTTTGTTTTGTTTTGTTTTTCTTGTTCAACTAATGGTAGTTTTGTAACGTTGGTGTATAATTGTATATGAGAGAATTTGTTGATGTGATAATTGGAGGATGAAGCGAAAGTATGCAGATGCGAACACATGTGAATATGAATCGGTGGAAGAGTTATAATATGTGAAATATGAGATGATGTTGGAATTATTAATCATGCATTCATTGGTCAATTTATCGTTTGTTAGTAGACAATTGAATAACATTCAATTGTTTGTAGCTTATTATTTAAAACCTGGAATGCGGAGGATCTGTTATTGTTTGACCTTATTTAACTTTATTCCGACATTTTAATTTTTATTGCACGTAGTTCTGCTTGGCATTTGTACTTTGGAATCTGAAACTCGTCTTCCACCGTTCGATTTGTAGGCCATTGACCATGCATTTTACGCCGTACACGTAGAACTTCAACTAATATGTGAATTTTCTTAACCTTTTTTTCATATTGGTCTGATATCTCTCTCTCAGTCGACACGCATTTCACTCTGTTGTTTGCAACTGTTTTGTTTTTTTCTTCTGTATCATTTCTTGCGTGTTTTATTTTTAAAATTTCTGGCATCTGATTGTTTTTGTTTGGTTTTTCTATCTACACATTGTTTTTATTAAAAATTTTCTGTTTTATGTAACTTGATTCTCTAGCGTTACTTAATTTACTCTTTATTTCTATATATTAATGTTCCTAATAGGTTTTGTGATCAAATTTTCGAAATATATCGCGCTAATATATCACGTTGATTTCTTTCTATTAACAATTTTCGAATCTCTATTGAGAATTCAAGACCTAGCACGATAGGTCCTGATAGATACTCAGGTGATGCACCTTAAACGGCCTCATATTTCAATGATTCTAGAAATCTTATGAGCCTCTCTTTGACCATTCTTACCAGTCCTTTCGGTTAGATACTTTCATATCAGCCAATTCTACGTAGCATCTATCCTGATCAGGCTAACGCCTTTGAGTCAAACTCACGCGCGTGAACTGACCTCGACAGTTATTCCTGATTCAACTCTGCTTTGGCTTAAAGGCCACATAATGTTTGAATTATGTAACACACAAAAATTCAGAGATCCATTGTTCTCTTTCTACGAACATAGGTGAAGCTTTTAAAGAGTGATATTACAAGGAACGGTTATGGTACATGATAGTATATCGTGCATCATTTCGATAAGAGCTACTTCATCATCGCACAAAAGATTTTGTATGTGTTCTTGTATCTTGATTGTCGTTCTGAGTAACTACAATGTTTTTCGGAATCAATTTTCAAATGCATCATGGAGTCTTCTCGTCGTTCATTTGAATGTTTCACCATGTTCAGGTGGGTTATACAAATTTGTGGATGACTTTGGATGATCATAATTTATGATATGAAGACTCATAGAGTTTTCTGACTTGTAATGTACTCAGTTTAAAAACAGAACTACGATTAGTGAATGTGTTTTGATTCGCGTTTGAACACATACTGAAGGTGATTTCTCGTCGGCATTTATCTGACAAAACAAAACTCGTTTTCGTAAATGCCGTAAGATGTTTTGAATCAGAATTACCTAATTTCAATTCGTGAACGTAGAGCGTTATATTGCTCTAAACCCGTATTTTGATATTTGGTTGTTCCAAGTCATCAACGATTTCATCAAAAATAATACTTTCAGGTACAAAAATATGTTATAAGCTTAGAAACGTCCATCCAACATCTCTTTATCGAATCTTCGCACCATAAACTAAGACTTCCATCACTTCGAGCAATAACATGTGATTGTCTAAGCAGATGTTTTAAAATTTTTCTGACTGTTATATCTGGCCGTAAGGTTCATCATAACACACGCCGTAAAGAAAATGCAAACTATCAAATGCTCTACCACTGAGCCGACATACAATGGAGTTAGTTCCTATCTTTTTGAATTCCATATATTCATAATTGCCTGGTGAATATTCGAGCCAGCGACAGATAAATATCATTAGACTAACAAATTTGCTAAGAGTCACCTTATACAGCTCGCACAATTGAATACTTTTCGCAAGGCGAAGTTACTTCAGCTGAATACCATGCGATTAGGCCTGTTGTTTGTCTTACAAAATAAATCTCGTTTGCGTCTCAGATTATGACTTTACGTTCGAAAGTATCTTTGACTCAGTTATACTGAGATTTCAGAACATTGGTGGAGGCTGACTTTAAACGTAATTTGTAAGTCTATTAGATGGTTGGAATCGCCTGAATAGAAAATCCCACTGTGAGTTAAGTAGTTACTGTGATTGACCGTATTGAAGCAAGGCCGTTAATAACCAATTATTTCATAATTCCATAACAGTATGTTATTTCTTGGGAATTTCCTATGTAACGCTATCAATCCACACACGGACTAGCAGAGCTCAATAATGTAACCTTTGACGTTTGAACCGACATCATGAAAATGCAGGAATTCTGGAGACCACTGTTACAAGCTTTAAGGGAAGCAAACTCAATAGCAATCTTTCTAATGTTTATAGTTGATGTGAATACACCAAAAATTTAATCAACATTCAAGCGCACGTCACATACGTGCAGAAATCATTCTAACTGATTCGGATTCCGAATATCACCAAGTAGCTTAAGAAAATACAGAAAACATTTAATGCATAAATAGAGAATAAATAGAGAGGACGGAATGGAGCTTAACAAATACTTTGTATGTACATTTTGAAGAATCAGCTATTCGTTAAAATCCATTAAAAAGATAATCACTGAATCAATTATCAGATACAGAATAATTCGCACAAGTCAGTAAGCGGATAGTTTTACCGTGAATGTGGAAGATCGTCGAGATCACGAACAGACTACTGATCAGTTGTGAACAGGTATAGTTGTTAAGAATCATTGCGAACAATGCAATTCAAATCGAAGGAAATAATGACGAACAAAGGCAGGCCAACAATCACCCACAAAATATTTTGCGCTAATTGAGAAAGATTATGTATTTGAGAAGCATATTTTTGCGAAATTAATAACTGGTATTTGATGAATTTTAACCAAGGGTATTTCATAAAACGCATAATATGAATAAATAAACAAATGTAGGATATTCATGTTGTTGGACCATTGGATGATGTACCGTTGGTCAATTAAGCTGACATTCCTCATTTTGTTGAACATATGAACCGCCACTCAATACATCCGACTCAACGATTTTCGGTGAACAAGCTTACGAAACTCAGTCATTGTGCGAGGAATATCTTTGAAGTAAATCATTTCCACAAACAAGTCATCCCAAAAGCCAGTTCGAGTTTGTTTACGCACGCACCCTCACTACAGTGTTATAGTGACTAGGCATATTATTCACTGCAAACAAATACTCATGGTTTCCTTTTCAAAATTAATGTAGATAAAAAGAGTCAACACTTCATATACCATATTTCATGCATTTTGTGTTAAAATTACAGAATGTGGTTCAAGAGTATTGTTAAGTTTACTACATACTAAAACAGTGTTTATTTCATTTGATTTGATTAGGCCATCTGAAAGAAAAATATATAAAAGATTTGATCATTTTTGGTAGTAATATGCTTTTGAATGAGAACAATAACCGAGCATGCAATGTGTAATGATGTGAGAAAAGGAGCGCGTTAAATTAATCAAAGGAGATGAGTATTCTAGTCGAAAGATGTGATGACGATTAGTTCAACGTTATTGATTCGCACGGGTAACATCAATGTTGACAACTGAATGTTGATCACATTCATACTGAACACATTTTCACAAATGGTTACAAAACATTTTGATCAAACCATATTCATTTGACAACCACAACCTGTGACTCAAATCGAAAGCATTTTGTGGACGGTGACTGCCGTGCTACCTGATCATGGTTGAATAAAATGTCTATTTGCCATCGCTTTTTAACGAGGCTTGAAACTAATAATAAGTTTACAAACACAGATATTTGTTAACATCCAACCATCGCAGAACGATTCACTACTCACTTGTCACTCTTCATCTGACAAATCTGTTAAATTGTAAATGAAGTGAACAGTGAAAATCATGAAATGAAACTACAACTGTAACAATATTGTTGTGAGCGAATTGCCGACGAGAAATCATTCTCCTCTCTTTGAGTTTTTAATAACCAGCTGTGGTGGGGCTTTCAAATTATTTAAACATTAGTGTGGAGAAAGTTGGCGAGGATCGGTTTTTTTAAAATCAGTATACTATCCAAGACGCTAGCAAAAAATAGCTGTTCGTTTTCAGCATATTTCGTTAGTTACAAGCTTCGATGAATGGAACTGCCCCATTCATATTTAATTAGATGAAACTAGACATTAATGATTAACTTCTCACCTGTCACTCTTCATCTGACAAATCTGTTAAATTGTAAACCAAGTGAACGGTAGAAATCATGAAATGGAACTACAACTGTAACAATATTGTTGACATACATACTCCCTATTGTTGTTTGATGAGGCTACCTCAACCGATAAATATTTGCATGAGTCAATCGACGGTTGAAACCGTGATTTCACTAGCCAACAAATTGATTCGCACTCCCTAAATATTGGTCGTGGTCTCAAGGAACAGAACTGCGTTAGACCCTGTAACGGCCGTGACATATTCGAATTACATCGATAACAGACGTTTGTATACAGCACTTTTGTTTACTGTCTCAATATTGACGACTTCATTTGATAGCGTTTTTGTGAGAGCGAGTTGTTGAGACGAACTCGAAATGGGCATGACAAACTGTCGGTTTGTTCTTAGTGATTCAGAGAATAGCCACAGTAACTGGATGGTTTACTGAGAGAAAATCACCAATATTGCAGATCGTTAACAGATTGTGTTTGAAAAGTGTCGGTGAGAGCAGTACTGCTCTATGCTTGTGAAATCGACTCATTATATCCAATAAATGTTGTCATTTTTAAATTGTGTGGGGGATATGATACTCCCCGGGTGCCGGGACTGGTGCAGGTGGTTAGGATTTGCAGTCCCCTGGTAGCCAGCAATAGGTTCATACACCTTTAGAATCCTGGAGCCCTTGTGCACTACCGGTTAAGAATCCTAGGCGAACTCATCGTTTTCACGGGCACGGGTAAAGCGCCATCATTCGCCTTTCGTCTTCTTAATTTTTTAAACAATAGCACCACGAAAAGGCAACAAGTAGGACTTTTCCAAAAGAGGCAATATGCGCGTGGCCGTGAGAGAGCATTTTGAGGGGGGGCGGGCCCTCTTCACTTTCGGTCGTATCAAGGCATCTGGGGGCAAGCTACTCCAACACATGAGGTGCTACAAATCACCGCATCTAGATGACTTACCTTCAGCTTATCTCGAAGGTGATGGTGTTTTCGAGTCGTTGGACAGGACTGTTCTCTGGAATTGTCTGTTGAAGAAGGATGTGCCTGAAAAGTTTACTAACATCTTAAAGGCCCTCTATACAAACACCTCAGGTAGAGTAAGGGCATACAACCACCTTTCTCCATTGTTCCACTCGAGTAGCGGGGTTAGACAGGGTTGCCCAATCTCACCAATACTCCTGAATTTTGCCATCGATGACACTCTGGAAACAGCTCTGATGGATGTAAGTAATGATGATGTCGATCTGTTGCCTGGAGAAAGACTTCTTGACCTTGAGTATGCGGATGATATTGTCTTACTGTGCGATAATACCCGAGCCATGCAATCCGCATTTAATCAGTTGGCAATCAATGTTCGTAGGTATGGTATGTGCTTTGCACCTTCGAAGTGCAAAGTGCTTCTACAAGACTGGCAGGATTCTAATCCTTTACTCACTCTGGATGGTGAGCAGTTAGAAGTAGTCGAGAAGTTCGTGTATCTAGGTAGCCGCATAAGTGCTGGTGGTGGCGTGAGTGATGAAATCTGGCCTCTCCGAGTTGAGGATGTTAGACGACTCTCTGTGTTTGATCATCGTTGTCTCCGAAGGATTGCTGACATCTCGTGGCAACACCATGTTAGTAATGCAGAGGTTCGGCATCGTGTGTTCGGCGCAGAGACGATAATCCAATTGGTGTCACCATCTTGAAACATCGACTTCGGTGACTTGGACATGTTCTACGAATGTTGTCCCGGGGAATTCCACGTCGTGCATTATTTGCCGACTCTGGGACTGGTTGGAAAAAGCGAAGAGGTGGTCAGTATATGACATGGTGTCGTGGTATGAAACAAAGCTGCAAAGGCTGGCTTGTGTTGGTCCTTCACGACTCCCTGTCTGGGGTCCGAGAGATGGTGTAACGCAGTGGCTAGAGACGTTATCAGAAGGTAGTGGCGATCCTGCTGTAACCTTCTTTTACTTTCTTCATAAAAATTGGCTGTACCTTCCTTAACTGAAAGAATTCTTCTGGTCGCACCTTTCCGTTTCCCCCATTATTACTATTGTTGTTATTATTATTACACTACCATACACTAATCTGTTTGGTTATTGTGTGGCGCATATATATCTAGTGCCAGCTTGTGCCAATATTTATGTGTTCAAATAAATAAATAAATAAGTATACTTCGACTTGAGAGTGAACCTGATTCCAATTCAAAGGTTTCCTTTACTTTTACAGGTTATGCGAAATTATTTATGGTTAGTGGTCTGGTTCCACGCTATTGACATTATCACATGGATAAGATATTTCTACTGCTTCACATATTTAAGTTGGTTCGGTTTCACACGAATCCAATAGGTTGTGTTCTGTATGTCGACTGTGTTCCTTACTCACATTACTTTCGCAGAGACTGACAATTCGATCAGGCTTAATTTACTACCAGCTACTGGTATCAAATTAGGGAAGGAACATTACGATATCCATTGCGTGTTCACTTGCATCCACCGTCAAACTTGAAAAGCGATTTTCGACAGATACTGAGAGATATTCTTAACATTTATGCAATCTAGATAAACAGTCACCGAGAATCATATTTGTGGAATCCGCATTAGTATAAGTTGTACTAGATAATTGATTTATAACTTCGACAAATTTAGTGCAATAAGGCACCACAATAGTTTGTCATAACAAACGGAGTGTTAGGAATAACAAGGAGTAATGATGAGTAATGTTACATGATGATATATGATTGCAGGCAATGTCATCAGTCCCACGTGATCGTTATGCAACATGTGGATTCGATTACAACTTTTATTCAGTGAAGGACACATTTCACAACTTACCAGATGGAAACGCAGCATAAATACAGTGACCTATATTTTGAAAGACAATTAACTTATATTCATCAGTGAGTGGTTAGAAAAATTGATGTGATCAATTGATGTAAATAAACTTCAAACAAAGCTAAAATAGACGGCTATCATTGTATTTGTTTATTCCTACTGAAACAAATACTCAGTAAATTCGAATGATCTATTTAGGAAAAAGAAAGTTCGAGGTGGGGTAGGTGGTTCGCATCTCGTTGAAGGAGCTTAGAGGAGTTGATTTGACTGGCTGATATGTTTCAATCACACTTCTTTCATTGTTTCCACAAGTAATATCATCACATACTTCAGTAACTATCAGTAAGTATACCCAAACATTATGGTAAGCAGGTTGATAGAAATAAGGATTACTGACAGCATCGTATGACAGCTGACGGATGGGGTTTAAATGTCAGTAAAAACACCATTATCAATCGTTGGCAAATCACAGTACAAAACAACCAAGGCAAACAACCAAAAGTCATTTACCAAATAGTGCGTTATAATGACGAACATCTCAATATCGAACAACGTTGATGCCTTCTTAATGTTTGTTCTCATGAACATCAATTAGCAATAAAACGTCATGATATATTTTCGTTTGAATTATCGCATGAGAACATTTGTGAATACTCGTTTGACTAGAAAGATATTGAAATCCATGATAGAGAGGAAACAATGTACATCGCAGAACCCCGTGTTTGTACAAATGATATCATTCAGGAGAATGATCGCGTTGTCGACAGTGTTGTTGCATATGTGCAACGTGTGTGCGCTACCTCGACATAATCTTAATCATGATACATACAAATGACAATTCGCAAGTAGAAAAATGTTCTCGAATAAATTCGTGGTAAAATGAAAGGTATTTGTTCCAGTATAATCAAGTTTGAATGTTACCTGTATAGTTCACATTTAAATTTTCTAGTTCAGAGATTCGTATTATTGACGGCAAACCTTGAAAATAATTTCGACGAAAAAATTCAACAAGAAGTAATTTACATCACGATGTAAACCGACTTTGTGATATCATAGAACTCGACAACAAATAGAGGATGAACAGAAAGAAAGATACACTAAACAGTGAGAGAGAGAGAAAGAAGTCGTCAATTTTGCAAACATACCGAGAAAGGTTTCTTCTTTGTCAATCGTTTCATCAGGTTGAGATATTTTGCTCTGTGTGGTCGTCTCCTCACCTAAATGACAGGAAGACATCGAGAAACAAATCAACAGAGTAGGTTCAATAGGACAATGAAACAGTCTAAAACTGGTGACTGAATAGTCATCCACTGACCACATAAATATAATAATTGGCATTTCTCAAGATCCTCAATTTACGTGTCAGAGGGAGAGAGAAAACACCAGCCGAGCAAACATATCAAGAGACACTTCATTTTTGTCAATCTTTATTTCAGGTTGAGATATTTGGTGTGGTTCGGTCGTCTTCTTACCTTAATGATAGGAAGAAATCGAGAAACGAACCGGCACTGCTCTAATAATAGATCTGATCCTAAAATTGTAGATTTATCATGATGTAACTGCCTAATCTATAAGATCTTACGTGGAAGTTACGCCATCGTCTACACCAACTCATTGCATCGTAACAATTACCAATACGTGATAGGGAACAAGCTTAGGCTAGAGATAGAATATAGTTAGTGTGAATAAAAATACAAGATAACATTCAGCTGGGACCACGCCTGCAAGGCCGAGCCATGCCACCTGACCAACTCGTAATAATTCAATTCATTGTTCCCGCCTTTCTTAATTTTTCGGTATTTCCCAGCGTTAAATGTTGAATGCCTATTTTTCGTATTGTCTCGTGTTAGGGCCCAATGCCTCTACACGTTCAATGGGACAATGAAAGAGTTGCAAACGATGTCTGAAATTTCATTCATTGACCACATAGATATATAAAAATTGACATGTCTCAAGATCGTCAATTTACAAATCAGAGAGAGAAATCATCAGTCGAGCAAACTTACCGAGAGAAGTATTTTTCTCGTCAATCGTTATTTCAGGTCGAGTTATTTTGTTTGGTTTGCTCGGCTTCTGATCTAGATGACAGGAAGACATCCGGAAATAAACCGACAGAGTAAAATTAATGTGATAATAAAATAGTCTAAAACTGGTGTCTGAAAAGTTATTCATTGATCGCCTTATGTCCTTTCCTACTAATGCCTGAGTGCATTTATGTGCGTGTGTGCTTGTGTGCTTGCTCTCGTCTGCATTATTTTCATCTGTCGCGAAATTTTTCAGCGACAATTGCGTACGCGTGTCCTAAAAATGTTTCGATCATAAATTTGTATATTTCACCCGTTTCGCAGAATTACCCACCGTTTTTATTCCCATATAGTAATTCAATGATAGACCAATGAATCCTTCTTTGTACATTATACTCTGAACAGCAAAACCCTTTCTTCATAAGTTCTCGGTAGTTCATCCTCACGCTTATATCTCCTGTCAGAACATCGAAGAAACAGTTCGTCATTGCTTCACCAAGTCCAGTATATTTATTCGACATGACGATCTTCAGCTGAAATCAAAATATCGAAACAATGTTTTATGGCATCAATGATTATCCCGTGATCTACTGGCATAATGTCTTTTTTAAACAATTAAATATTGTGAACTCGTCGTTGCGCACCATATAAGAGCCCTATGAGAACCTGATCTGATTATTCTGTGAAATTGTTTTTATATAAATCTTGGTGAAAGCAGATAACAAATGCTACGAAAGCCACACAACAATGATGATTGGCGTTAAAGTTAACAGAATATCAAGAAAACATTATACATCAGCAATCGTCATCAAAACAAATATTGTTGAGACTGTGAAATTAACTGTACGACGATATCAAAACTAATGCAATCAACTTAAATTTGTAAGCTCTTCAAGTCAACTACAATGTCGATCAACGCAAAACGCAATAGATTCAAGAAAAATTTATGATGCGCTACAAGACACTCACCTCAGGGCACTTATCAGTGGTAACTACCTCCCTTCCAAAATTCTTTTTGAAGGAATAGGATTCTGAAATTAATGACGTTCACTAAGTAAAGTTTGTGAAACGAATATTCACTATTAATAAAACATTTGATAAAACGATTTCTTAATCAAACTACTCTATTCAGTGGGTACAGTAGGCTGTACAACATATCGGTGTTCGTGACCGGGGAATCCGTGATAAAAACAATCAAATTGTTCAGACATTATTTGCATTCACGGTTGATTTCATCCTCGGTCAAAATATTGCAAAGTTCGTTGTGAGAAGGAGATTAAATCAGTGTAGGGATCATCGCCATGTTTTGTGACCACATTCTCAACAACATTAGCAATCTGGACACTATTGAGTTGAACCGATCGAAGTCAACATAAAACATCACATGCAAATGAAAGTTCGCTGATATTGTGGAACTATTATAAATAAGATATGAGATTACTTTTCAATAGATCAATTCGCAAATTTTACAAACGAGAACATGACTGCCGCTTCATCAAATTCTCCTAGTTGAGACGAGGAGATGAAACCAGTGCAGGAATCTTTACCATAGTTTATCACCAAATTCCCAACAAAAGTAGCAATTTGGACACTGTTGAGTTGAACAGATCAAAGTAAACTCGCCAAAAACACATAAGCTTGTGTAGTTATAAAATCACTGAAATGCAGCGGAGTGACATACAGCATAGCAGTCGAATGATATTTCCGATCAATCACTTGATTCTTCTGTGTGAATTTAATGCAAAAGTGTTTGTGTGTCGAATGTTTTCAAGCATGTCAATGTCAGGAGCGTGTGACTAAAGCAAATTGTGGAGATCGATTCAAAAAGCCCCAACGAGTCAAACGTTCCCAGACACATGCAATAAAGTATATAATTTCACTACAATCTTATCTTCTACATTACATTCGGCTGGTTCTCATTATTAGGTTCATACAATGGTCACAAATAAAGCAGTCAACGCATCTCATGTTGTCACATTCATACACCTCTGTTGAAATCATCAATAAGTAACAGAAAGTCCAAATTCAAATCAACCGCCTCATATAGAAAAAAACTTACCACGGCCAAGGACTGTCGGATCTGAAAGTCGAAATAAATATTATTTTGCGTTTGATGACAACGAGCTGACTCTTTCACTCATTTGACGACTTATGTTTACAAATCATTACATATCCATCATTCCTGAAATACAAACACCACACTGACAGATTATTGTGTTCAATATTTCGCAGTATCACTGACTTTAACAGATTTTACAATACACACAAACTACAGAATTCATTGTGAACTTACCACTCACTGAAACGATATCTGAAACGGAGTGCGGTATATTTACTTAGTGCTGAAAACTGCAATCTATGTTATCTCAACTGAAGATCTTACATATCGATCAAGTGTGGATATCAACTATTGAATTGTTGTGCATCGGCGATTCACTCACCAGTTAGCCACGCGCTATTCACACTCACAACACCCGATTCGAGTGTATTCTTCAACGATGGGAACCATGTTTTTGATGAAAATACTTCTTCCATTTCACTCGATAACACTGCAAGTTGAACATTAATGGTGTCGGTATGGACACTCTTTGGTCTTTGTGATTGATCTATATCACATGACAGAGTAGCAGATTTCAATTTTGGTTCCAATTCCTTCACCACATTCACAACCTTTAAAAAATCATGTAAAAAAATTATCCGTCAAATTATTTCGTTGAAGCATTTGTGAAAGTGAGCATTGTAACTCGAAATGAAATTTTTTTCGATATTCACATGATTATTTATGGCTGGACATTCATGTCTATTTACGTTATTATAAAAATGGTTACTCAGACTGATAATAACCCAACACTGAATCACAGGGATATCTAACATTTACCCTTCAGAAACACAATTTCATTCTTGCGTATTTTAAAAATTTTCACATCAATTTACACGTCCCATTACAATACACCATCTAACATCAATTGCTGAGTGTTCACAAAATCAATGAGTAGGTTCACTTGGAGATTCATGTGGTCAATATATGGAGATCGATTGAAGTGAAACGACTCGAGTAATGTTGTCCTACACTTCTCTTCGTGTTTGAGAATTCGAGTGAGAGCTTCTAGACTTACATTTTTACAGTATGTTTCCAGAGGTTTTAAAGATTCTACTACTTCAGTTCTTTCAATTATTTCTTCCCACTTCCTAACACGGACGGAGAGTGTGGCTACAACGGTATCTAAAACAAACCGGAATTCAAATAAATTAGATGCAGGCATAATTCAAACACGAATGTCAAAACATCAGCACAGCTATCGTGTAGGAAAAGATACGTCATTCAGAATTATCTCTCAGTATCATTGTGTGACTTGTAATGCTTATGCAATGCTCAGTATACACTGATGGTTTCAACCATCATTAATTCATTTGCCACCAAGTTCACAAGGTATGGACTAATTTTTCGTCAATCTAACATGAAGCACTTCGAACGTGTCTAGACAGGGTGATAAAATATACGATTACTGATTAGGTGATTCTAAGTGAATGAAATAAAGCAAGAATCAACAATACGTCACTTCAACTTTTATCCAAACTGAAACCATGAAAATCGTATTTGATGACGATGTTCACTGAAGTTAGATGTAAGAGAAAAATATGTGTCGCGTCTGAACATCAAGCCAAATCCTAATGCATATTTCATTCGGTATATATAGAAATAAACGACATTCGATTAACATTTTATACGAAACGTGATGTAAATGAAATTCATCAGATGATATTGCCATTCAACTAACTTACCATCACTTGAAATCTCAAGAGACTGAGCTGCCACTTCTTGACCTTCTGTAATTTCAACAAAAATCAATCGAAATTACGAAGACGAGGTATTCACATGAATTAAGAAACGCTTCATCAGTTTACTGACAAGTAGATACAACAAGTGATTGTTCAGTGAGTAGTGACTAGCGTCATGTTTACGCGATGGTATTAACGACATGTAACATTCAGTGAATTAGCTACTACACAGTATTCAGACAACAAGTAATTGGCGTACAGACAAGAGTTCAGCTGTTGAAGAATAGCTCTCTATTGATATCACAGATTGTGGAGCTATTCTACATAGGGTCCAACCCACTGTAATGCAACACTTCCTTCAAAATTTTGGACAGATTTTGTTGACGAGTGACTATCAGTATGAACAACGGCTTTAGCTATTACTGACAATGAACTCCAACCATCGAACAAAATAGGTGCATGTTTATCAAGAATCATTCAGAATAATATGAGCTGTTTGATTTCGTATGGCATCGTGAGCGAAATACATTGGAACAACTAATTGCCATCTTCCATTTGAAAGCAATATCATCACACACATATTTACATCAATAGACATTTGCTTCATCAATCGATCAAGCACGTCTACTGTGATCCTGTTGATCTACTGTACTTCAAACTCCCTTATATTGAAATAGGAGTTCAAGTGAGCCCCGGTTGCCTTTCTGTGAAAATATATGATGCATTCAGCAAAATCAAATCCTATTCCATGTGATGTGCAGTTCAGTATGTTTCCATTTGGTGTCATTTAATAATTTCTCCTATTGACAACTTCATCTACAACGATATCGATGACACTCGGATATGTCCTCAGCATTATGTGGACGTTCATCCGTTAACTCGCCTTGATTTTATTATCGGCGACACAGTCTTGTGAAGTGTTCACGAGTACAATTTGTGATTTAACAGTTGTTGTTCATTACTTTGAGGTTCCATACTAGAACGAATCACTTCTTCCGTGTTCTCTGGTCATCACTGGTAGCCTAACAAACTTCAGTCCATAATACGAACTAACGGTTTGAAACAACTTCTCGTATAACGAACACAAAACATCGTAAATAGTCACTTCGCTGAGGATTTTGTCGTTTATTATTCATGACTGTGATTTTCGAGAAACCAGTTGATTTCGAGCATCATGGCTGTGTGAAATCTTCACTTCAAAATTTCACTAAATGTTTACATTTAAAGTCTGTCATTACTTCTACGATCGACAAATACGTAGTAAAGTCAAATTTTCTACTACGCGTTCAATCAAGACATTCTTCCATTGTTTATATCATACAATGGAGATTAATTGAAAACTTCAGTCGTTCATATTGATATTACGTAAGAACAATGTCAAACGAATACTTTCTTTATGGTTCTTCTATAAGGATTACGAACCGGCAAGTATTACAAATTATGGTGCAGTCACATTGTGTTACGTGACATAGGTAAATGTCATGCGATTTTCTCAAGAAGATATTGCTTTCTAATATCGTCATGTTATCATATTCTAAAAGGCTTGCGGTACACGAACAATCACTTCTTACTTATCAATCAATGACTTGGGCAAGGCTTTATTACAGCCGGTAGACTATCAAGGCATTCGAGTTACTAGACTGCCCGTAAGTTGTTCAGAATAAGTCATAACGAAGCAGAACCTAGAATGATTCCATGCTGATTAATACTTTTCGGTGAAGTCTACTGTGATCGTAGGAGAACCGATGCCCTGTGTGGAGATCGAATGCTTGTCAACATCTTTCACGACATGAAGAGTGCTCGTCAACGCATATTAATGATTGACTAGTTCCTGGTCAATGAAAATATTTACAACGAATAATCACCATATAGTGACTAACGACATTATTACTGAGCGATTATTTATGTCAATTACATCGTCATATGAATGAAAATAAAGATGAGAACGCACTTATGAAAACATTTCAAACTTACCTGTATTCCAGACCAGGAAAGAGAAGAGAAACCAAACAACTGCTACTTGTGATCTAGACATATTTACTCTCTGTAATTCAACAACGTTTTCTGCAATCAATTACACAGTTAACGCTCTGATGTCTGTTTAAATACAACGATAACGTGTCATTCTAGTCACAATTAAAACGTGTGTGATTGGCAAATGGAAAGATAGAAGTTATTCAATTGGTCAATGCCACATTCTTAGACTATACCAAGGTCAAAACCAATGTGAATGAGACCATCATTTAAAAAAATAATGAGAGTAACCATCACGAGTAACGAGATAGAGTCCAAACAGATATTCATTCAATCAATCAAATTATTTTTCATCTTTCGGTCACCTCTTTCATTACCACTCACCAGTCTAACTTGAGAAACTGAAATAAAAACATTTACCACACCGTTTAGGTTTGCTCCATTCTGACCACACTTTCTCTGTCAACTTGCTTATGCACCTATCCAGTTTCCTGCTGAAATGTCTTCAAAGGTGTTGAAAAAGAATGATGGCGTGAGATCGCCATATCAAATGAAGTTGTGCTGATGTAAGAAATAAAAGTTATCAAAATACAATTCATTCACTCTCACCGTTGTGTACTCTTAGCTCATTCACAGTGCAAGTAAACTTCCCAATCTATATAAGTTTCCATTTTCGTGGTACAGTTAGTGGCAACGAATTTGAAGATCTCTGCACCAGTATATCGGCATAAAACAAATGGATGTGCAACATTCATCAGCATCCCTCTCTCGTCAATACGTCAACATTCAATTCTCTCCATCTACAAATAGTAAATATTTTAAGCTAGTTACTGTCATCGGTTTCGCAGTTTGCATTTAGAATAAAGTGAGACAACATTTCGCACATTGAACGCTACTTGCTGTATTGCTTTAGTGTGATTCCGTGCATCACAACAAGTCATTGTCATAATAGTAATGCTTACGAAACATTCTCATGTGTGACAAAACCACTTAACATGTATTTAAAGTGTTCAGTGAGAATACTGAAGATGAAATCAGTATATATAGGGCTGCGAAATTCGTGGATTCAAGGTCAACATGCTAGAAGGATTACTGAGAAATCGATCATTGATCCCGTTATTAATTTGTGACCGCTTTACGGACACTTGTTGCACTTATAAGTTTTACATGTGCATATTTGCCATCATGTCAAGCACCACCAAACCGAGAATCTTCTCTTCTATTGGTTTACGTTAATGTTCTAAACTTAGAATGCATCGGAACTCCACCGTTACAACTTTAAGCATTAGGGGCTTACACTGCTCTATGAGTGCTTAAATATGAGTACGGATTTCAGAAACAGATTACGACTGCTATCGGCTGGCAAAAATTGGGCGTTTAATTTGGCCCTTGGTTATTTTACCAAGATCAAACCGTTGACATGCTCGGCTCTTCTCGTGAGATTGAGTGATGGAGTGATTAGTAGGTCCGTTGAATATGTTACACAACTGTCTCGGTTGCATAATGAAGATGATTTCGCGATTGTTACATGTCACCTAATATAATATCTTCTAACATTTTTGGGCAAAACGAAATTCATATATATGACCCGTCCATTTCTGCTCAACATTCAGAATAGAGCACAACCCTTGCAATATCGTCTGGATCAGCCGATGTGATAACGAGTGAATGTTTATGTCTGTCGTATCAAGTGTCGAAAGCATTGCAATTTTTAACATCAAAAGTGAGTTGGGTTACAGGTAGCAGTCCCATATTCGTATTATTTGAGGTACAACTCACAGAAGACTGAGTAAACGTGGAAGTTACTTTTTACATCGGCAACAAATTTATGTTTTCAAACAGCTTGTTTCACTTTGCAGAATCTCTCTTGCGTTCATCAACTGACATAGACGATCGCCTAATAATTTTCCTTCACGATGCTCTCCTTTGGTGACTGCTTATCAATGTCAGGAACTTAGTAACCAAATAAGAATCCTGATTGCAATATGGCGACTGCATTAGATTTTTAAACACAGATTTAGACGGCTTGTATCCTAAAATCCTCACCGCGGTCAATACTTCTATGATTTCATTGTGTTCAGTTTGATCTGATGGTTTGGCCCCAAAAGTGCGCATTTGTATCCTTTGATGATCTGTTGCCAACCACCGTCTGCATTATCACCGATGTTTGATCAATCTTCAACACAAGCAATTTCAAACGTATCGCTGTTCACTCGGGACTGTTACTCAAAATAGTAAGATCTACATCTACTACCTCTACTAGTGAAATCGCATGGGAATCACTCACGAATACAGACAATTGCTTAGAGACATCTTTATATATATTGGTCTATGAATTACGGTCAGGAAAGATGAAATGATAAATTGATGCTATTCTCGTTTGGATATGGATCAATTTGTTAAGAAGATGAACTGTTTTAAATACGGTCACATAAACTTTTGAAAATAAATTCATTGAAATCGACCTTTGAAGCTATCAAAAAATATTTCGAGGTGAGTTAGACAATTT